TGAGGTTAAAGCTCAAATTAGCATTGATTTTCAACCCTGTTACTATAATTAGAGTAACAGGGGTAATTCTTCATTGGAAAATATACATTTGATGCCTAGCTGGGCAAATCACTTTTTTTGATGGTTTATTATCGGTTTTTCCTAACTACATAACAAATTAAATAAAAGGTTAATCCTTCAAAAATGTTGGTGTCTAAACCTATTTTTCTATAAAGTGAAGATTTGTTTACCTACTTTTCATACATGCTCTGATAGAATAACTGTATGCTGTTGAAAAAAACCAATAAACAAAGTTTAAAATAAATAAATACATTAGTTTGTGTCAATGATGCAGTTTACTGTACTTAACTACTGTGCTTCCATCTATTTAAAAAGGTACTTTGGTCAGAGAGTAAAACACCATGTAACTGATTTCAATCCAACAACAGCCAGACGTCCGTTCATCGCAAAATACACCGTGGATTAAATTAGATTTGGATTAGCTTGTTTGAACAAGTACTTTGCTTAAAAACTATTTAAAAAAAAGGTACTTTTGTATTTCTTTGTTCCTTTTAGTCAACTTCATTTATTTGATAACTCTAGTTACTTTAAAGATTAAGATGTAATACAATATAAGTGAACAATACACCAATGTGGTATTATTATTATAGGTAAACGTTATTGACACATTGGTGAACATTACAAGCTTTCCCAGCAGTTTGTATAGTCAAAACAAAATCAGATGAAACAAACAGATGAGTGCATCAATTATTAAAATCCAATAGCATATTCCAATAGAATATATATATATACACTGCGGATTACTTTGTGTACTTTTAGGATATTTTGAAGCTAATATTGTTGTGCTTTTATATAAGAAAATGTTGAAATCATGACTTTTAAAGGAGATTTTCTAGGCTGTGGTATTACTGGTATATCTGTCATATAGTTATGTATATATGTATGTATATATAATACCTTGTTAAATTCAACATGTATATGTTCTACTTTCTTGTTTATTTCTTGTCTTGAATTGTTATTGTACAATGCCATGTCTTTTTATGCTGCAACGCAAACATTTCCCAAATTGGGATCAATAAATGACTATCTTATCTTATCTTCTGAGGGATATGCAAAGTGTACACTTCTTCTGAGTTTTCTAATAATAAAAAAAGGGAGGAAACACATTAAAGCAGGCTGCAGTTCTTTGAAGCACCAGCAGGGCGTGATGTTGCTCCATGGAAGAGCAGGAAGAGTTCCCTCCCTGATAAAATGCAGCATGGCACTGGAGATCCTACAGATGTATATAACTGACACCTCATATTATTAAATGCATCACATTTAAGACCATTCCCTCTCTCACTCGCATACAGGATATGTCACAGTTCATATTTCCACTCATTGTTTTAGTTACAGTCCTGATTCTACACCTCCTCTCTCATCCTCCATGAGGCACAGCTCTGTGAAACGCCACCAGACAGGAGAGCTGGTGATTCACTCTAGATCTGATTCAGGGAACAAATCTGGCCTCCTTGTTACAAATCACGGCTATTCTCCGGCTTGAAAAAGGCCAATGACCTGACACTGGGACATGTATCACGCTAAATTAGAGGCAATCACACACTGGTGCTGTACAGAGGGAGCTGCTGTATTAATACCAGCTGTGATGACATGTAGCAAGGTTTTTAAAATGTAACCTCTAAAAGAAATGTTATCCTGAGGTATTGTGACCCTATGAACAGATGTTTTAAAGAGTCCTCTCCTGCTGATGTTCAGGTGTATATCAGTATGTAGTGTCTCTACTTTAAAGAGTCCTCTCCTGCTGATGTGCAGGTGTATATCAGTATGTAGTGTCTCTACTTTAAAGAGTCCTCTCCTGCTGATGTTCAGGTGTATATCAGTATGTAGTGTCTCTACTTTAAAGAGTCCTCTCCTGCTGATGTTCAGGTGTATATCAGTATTTAGTGTCTCTACTTTAAAGAGTCCTCTCCTGCTGATGTGCAGGTGTATATCAGTATGTAGTGTCTCTACTTTAAAGAGTCCTCTCCTGCTGATGTTCAGGTGTATATCAGTATTTAGTGTCTCTACTTTAAAGAGTCCTCTCCTGCTGATGTTCAGGTGTATATCAGTATGTAGTGTCTCTACTTTAAAGAGTCCTCTCCTGCTGATGTGCAGGTGTATATCAGTATGTAGTGTCTCTACTTTAAAGAGTCCTCTCCTGCTGATGTTCAGGTGTATATCAGTATGTAGTGTCTCTACTTTAAAGAGTCCTCTCCTGCTGATGTTCAGGTGTATATCAGTATGTAGTGTCTCTACTTTAAAGAGTCCTCTCCTGCTGATGTTCAGGTGTATATCACTATGTAGTGTCTCTACTTTAAAGAGTCCTCTCCTGCTGATGCTCAGGTGTATATCAGTATGTAGTGTCTCTACTTTAAAGAGTCCTCTCCTGCTGATGTTCAGGTGTATATCAGTATGTAGTGTCTCTACTTTAAAGAGTCCTCTCCTGCTGATGTGCAGGTGTATATCAGTATGTAGTGTCTCTACTTTAAAGAGTCCTCTCCTGCTGATGTTCAGGTGTATATCACTATGTAGTGTCTCTACTTTAAAGAGTCCTCTCCTGCTGATGTGCAGGTGTATATCAGTATTTAGTGTCTCTACTTTAAAGAGTCCTCTCCTGCTGATGCTCAGGTGTATATCAGTATGTAGTGTCTCTACTTTAAAGAGTCCTCTCCTGTTGATGTTCAGGTGTATATCAGTATGTAGTGTCTCTACTTTAAAGAGTCCTCTCCTGCTGATGTTCAGGTGTATATCAGTATGTAGTGTCTCTACTTTAAAGAGTCCTCTCCTGCTGATGTTCAGGTGTATATCAGTATTTAGTGTCTCTACTTTAAAGAGTCCTCTCCTGCTGATGTTCAGGTGTATATCAGTATGTAGTGTCTCTACTTTAAAGAGTCCTCTCCTGCTGATATTCAGGTGTATATCACTATGTAGTGTCTCTACTTTAAAGAGTCCTCTCCTGCTGATGCTCAGGTGTATATCAGTATGTAGTGTCCTCTACTTTAAAGAGTCCTCTCCTGCTGATGTTCAGGTGTATATCAGTATTTAGTGTCTCTACTTTAAAGAGTCCTCTCCTGCTGATGCTCAGGTGTATATCAGTATGTAGTGTCTCTACTTTAAAGAGGTCCTCTCCTGCTGATGTTCAGGTGTATATCAGTATTTAGTGTCTCTACTTTAAAGAGTGCTCTCCTGCTGATGTTCAGGTGTATATCAGTATGTAGTGTCTCTACTTTAAAGAGTCCTCTCCTGCTGATGTTCAGGTGTATATCAGTATTTAGTGTCTCTACTTTAAAGAGTGCTCTCCTGCTGATGTTCAGGTGTATATCAGTGTGTAGTGTCTCTACTTTAAAGAGTCCTCTCCTGCTGATGTTCAGGTGTATATCAGTATGTAGTGTCTCTACTTTAAAGAGTCCTCTCCTGCTGATGTTCAGGTGTATATCAGTATGTAGTGTCTCTACTTTAAAGAGTCCTCTCCTGCTGATGTTCAGGTGTATATCAGTATGTAGTGTCTCTACTTTAAAGAGTCCTCTCCTGCTGATGTTCAGGTGTATATCAGTATGTAGTGTCTCTACTTTAAGAGTCCTCTCCTGCTGATGTTCAGGAGTATATCAGTATGTAGTGTCTCTACTTTAAAGAGTCCTCTCCTGCTGATGTTCAGGAGTATATCAGTATGTAGTGTCTCTACTTTAAAGAGTCCTCTCCTGCTGATGTTCAGGAGTATATCAGTATGTAGTGTCTCTACTTTAAAGAGTCCTCTCCTGCTGATGTTCAGGAGTATATCAGTATGTAGTGTCTCTACTTTAAAGAGTCCTCTCCTGCTGATGTTCAGGAGTATATCAGTATGGAGTGTCTCTACTTTAAAGAGTCCTCTCCTGCTGATGTTCAGGTGTATATCAGTATGTAGTGTCTCTACTTTAAAGAGTCCTCTCCTGCTGATGTTCAGGTGTATATCAGTATGTAGTGTCTCTACTTTAAAGAGTCCTCTCCTGCTGATGTTCAGGTGTATATCAGTATGTAGTGTCTCTACTTTAAAGAGTCCTCTCCTGCTGATGTTCAGGAGTATATCAGTATGTAGTGTCTCTACATGTCTCCATGCTGTAATGTCAAAAAGCTCTTTAGTTTTCTCATACTGCCTGTGCTGCAGTACCTCTTTTCACCCTCTGTCTGAAACCAGAGCCCAGTCTGCTCTGATTGGTTAGCTGGCCGGCTCTGCTGTGGTCAACTGCTTAGAGATTGTCACATACAATGTGTTGGAGCGCGAGCAAATTAAGGATAAAGTGTGTTATAGACTTCAAGATAAGGGTGCAATGGAATAAGGTCATGCTAGATTCTTTAAGGGAATGCAGGTGTCATAGCAGCAACAGAAATAACAGAATTAGAGTAAATATAGGAACAAAAAGAAACTAAATGACCTATTGTCATAAGGTCACACTCTTATACCTTTCAGTGTGTGTGTTTAAGTGGATTAAAGTGTGTCATGGGGCTTTTTACGACATGTATGTGTTTTATGCTCTCTTGTAACTCTTTAAAATCAGTATGCACGGTGCTCACTTGTAAGAGGCAGCCATGCTTGCAATAACTAGGATTATTATATGAATATTGAGTTTCATGGCCTCACTAATCACTCTACGGGCAGACAGTGATGATTTGATGACAGGAGATAGAGAGGAGGTATGATGTTATGATGGTGAACAGAGGCGGGCTTTGTTCCTCACCTTCGCTGGAGGTCAGCTGGCCCTTCAGCTGGTTGTAGCGCTCGGCTTTGGGCGGCAGCGGCGGCTGCATTTCTTTCTCATCCAGACCATCCAGACTGGTTTTAGACTGCAGGGAGGAGAGGAAGGCGTTAGAAGCATCCAGAAGAAGATGAAATAGAAAGGGAGCCTGTGTTAGAGTGACGGAGGCATCGATATTCTCTACAGTGGCTTCCAAACCTGCAGAACTAAGATAATAACAAGTATTTTATTAACAACATATTTGAAAAAACTCACAAACTGACTCTCAAAATAACATCTTAATCAATAGTTCAAGTGATATGCTTCCTTAAAGGTGGGGTAGGTAAGAAAGCAGCTCGAGTGCGCTAGAATTTGAAAATACACAGCCGGAAAAAATCTGCCACTTCCTTACAGAGCCCCTCCTCCAACACACACGAACGCGCACATGACCAATGAGGGCACGAGATAAGTTTGTGCACAGATGGAAGGCTGACAGGCAGGTAGGCCATCCAGTTACTTTAGCCGGGCCGGCTCAGATGATTGGTCGTGCTTTTTACAGTATTACGAGTTCCACAAATGACATTTTTTTATGGATTTTTTGTCAAAGCACTTAAGATATTCATTGCTGTGAGGCTGACAATTGAGCAGCCCGACCAAGCAAGGAGGCAGAACGTCCAAAAATATAACCCGGTGTGGGCATTTATTAAAACATGAACACATTACACACAGCCTCAATCCTGCTGCTGCTGTTCACGTGAGCCCAGCCTGCAGCCACCAGGATCTCACCCACAGTCCCTGCCTCCTAACAGACAGGGAAACAGAGCCTAAATACACACACTCTAATCAGCACAACAAGACACATATGAGGGGGGAGGAGACAACATAGGGCACCAGGTGCACACAATCAGCAACAGACATAACGGGAGGGGGAACACTTTTCAAACACAAACTTATAACTGAACAGAAGTACACACATACAAACCCAACTAACCGCAGTCAGCACTTGAACAATTACTGCCACTTAACGCTATGATGTCTACACCCCCACATATTATGTGCACCCGGATTATTCTTAACCGCTGTCATTCTACCCCAGCATAAGCACTTTCGGCGCTCTCGCTAACTCCCCTATCTTGTCAGGCGGAGCCGAGGACCCGACCAGCACCTGCCAGACGACATTTCAATCAATACGGTTTAATCCTTTAATAAATACTATCTCAATAATTAGTAGAAATTACATAAAATGTGCAAATATGCCATGCCAAACGGTACTGTGCAATCACGCTAATAAAGTGCAAAACTGTTCACTAAAGTGCTGAGTGCGAGGCCCGAAGCCCGAAGCCGTCAGGTCACAGTGACGCACAATTGCTATCGGGATGTTAAGAGCATTCCATTGAATATAACAACAAGTGTATCTCGAGCCGGTTTCTCAAACTTACCCCACCTTTAAGAACGTCCTTAATTAACTGATTCAGATGCGGTTGAAAACTGTCTCATCAGGTGTCATATACACTGGTGTTAAAAATCTCCCGACTTAAATAAACAAACATTGTCCATGCAGTTGCAAAGATGATGTGAGGAACACAGCAAGGCACAAGTAAACACACATCTATTAAAACACAACTATAAAATCAAACACACATTTGCAATAACAATACATGTTTTGAAGGTTAAGGTTGTTATAACCTGTTGCGACTTCACTCGCTTAGACTGTGAAACAACACTGTGCAATATCTACTCTCATGTTATATCTGGCTGGTGGTTCATTCACTAACTCTACTCCACTATGATCTGTACTTATTCGATCTTTATGTTATTAACAGGTGCTTCTATTTTAATGTTAACCTTCTCATAGTATTTGCCTTGTATCTCTACCGTCCTTTGCCAAAACAAAGTATATTCATAACGTCTGATTTCTGATTTGACATTGCATGTTTAACACACTGCCGAATATAAATAGTTTTTGCATCAAAACAGTTATCTACAGTTTTAATCCTAACCTTAGATCAACAGACAGTTGTAAAACTTCATTTGTTAGTCTTTAGTGGCTAATTGAGTGAGAAGGAGCCATTAACTGAGTTTATTATATACATTTTCTTTTAATTGTTTAATATGTGTTGTTTTATTAGTTTACATGGCCTACATTATGTGTTGACTATTTATCTACTCACCTTAGTTGTTTACGTCCCTGAATATATTTGTTGACACCCCTTCTTCTCCTATTTTCTATATGATGTCTGTTTGTGGGGAAGGGGTTGGTTTTAGACTGGGGAAGCTAAACCAGTTCAACTGATGTGTCGTGGCTTAAAAGTCTCTCGAGAAGCCACTTCCAACAAAATGGAAACTATGAAATGATCTCAGTGTTGGATAGACAGTTTGTTTCTCAATTAGGCATTCACTTGTTAAAAGAGTGCTTAAATCATCAAGCATTGCACCTGGTTTAACCCTCCTATTGTCTTCGTTTCCCCCCTTACTTTGGTGTTCGCGGTCAAATTTCACCGGTCCTGTTTTAACTGCTATTACATTAACACAACAACCATTAATCATCACCCAATTTCATTTAACACCCTTTCAAACTGTACACATTGTATCAGACTACTGATATACATGAACAACTGCAGTAAATATACAAAGAATAGACACTGAACATGTATTGCGTGTGCCAGGTGTGATCCATGTGGGGGGATGGGCACATAAGAGCGGGACATGGGTGTTACTAAGTTGACTAAATCATCCAAAATCCAATGAAAATGGTGATCAGAAATTTGATATGTTCAAATATCTACTGTGAAGGATATCATGAAGCCTTGATGCAATCGAATGTAAAACAAAAAAGTTATGATTGATGAAAGTAGTAAATCGACCCGAAGACAACAGGAGGGTTAAAGCCAACATCAATACACAAAACCAGAGATGTTGTCTATTTAATTCCACATATTCTTCTTTCTTGTCCAAATCTGAAGCAGACATTATTCAGCGACTCGTCTGCTGACAGTAAATGATCTTGTGTTGTGCTAGAAGTAGGTAATATAGCCCGGAGCTGCTAGCCTGAGGCAGAGGTGCTGCTCAGCTTACTTCTTGATAACTCCACAGCCCCCTTTCATTTTCTTAATTGTAGCCTTCAGTCCTCCCTGACCCTCGCAGCTATGCATGAGAGTGTGTGCAGCTCCCTGTGGAGCTCAGAGAGATGAATACAGCTGCTTTACATATGCAGGAGCAGGCTACTCCCCAAGACCTGTAAACACACTTTGATGTGTAAAACTGTTGGAGCTCTTCTTTTAAAGCCAGAGGACATTTTTCTTTTTCGCCCCTAAGTTTGTTTGCAGATGCAGAAAACATTATACATAATAATATAACATAATAATTGGATCTTCTGCTTATATCTATATATTTTAAAGGGCAATGGAGGTGAGGAGTGTGTTTTACATATTAAATCTGTTATGCATACTTAAAAGGACCCTCACTTACGTCCATCAAATATTTCCAAGTTGGGTTTAATAATAAATGGCATGATTTTAAACCAACTGGCGTCTTAACCATTTTTTAAATTGTATTTTTGCTTGTCTTTAAAATCACCGATATACACAAATGACAGACCTCAGGGGTCCAAGTCATTTCCTCCTATCAGTGAGTGACCTGGCTTTGACGTCAACCTGTTTTACAAACGAGGACTTCTCACGACTGCTTTAGTGAGATCCTTTGATATCCCCACTTGAGTTGAAGTCTTTCAGCAGCAAAAAGGACCTGGGGATGGTTTCACATTTCTGACGTGAGACGATGAGGATTAGGGGAGCTGACATGCTTAAACCCCGGCAGAAGAAAGACCTACTGTGCGTCAGTTACATTATGGAGTAACAGGTAGGGCTGCTCAATGAATCGTATTTTAATCGCAATTACGATTATGACTTGCAACGATTACGAAAACAACAATCGAAATATAACAATATTGGTTTTTCAGTTGAGTTATAATTAAAGTTCAGGGTAATCAACTGTTAAAAACACTGTTCAAATGTTTTTTCTCCAATAAATTGATGTTTTCAAAGTAAATGGATAATCGTTTTTAATAATCGTGATCTCAATTATTGACCCAAATAATGGAGATTATGATTTTTGCCTTAATCGAGCAGCCCTCGTAACAGGTAGATGTAGTAATTGTAATAAAGTCACCTTGGAGCTGATGATGGTGCTGTGGATGCCGTTGTCGCTGATCTTGATGGTGATCTGCCTCTCTGAAAAGTCAGGTCTGATGAACGGGGGCTGAATTTTGACATGGGGCTTTTTCTTGGGGTCCAACATGTATCTACGTTTGAAAGAAGAAGAAGCAGGTCATGAACAGAGTACCACATTCACAGTTGTAAGTGCAGCCATCACATTTGAACTGTGGCTCACTGAAAGCAACCAGGATGACAAGTGTGCAGCTCTGAAGAAAACAGCACACAATGTACTATTACAGTTCTCACATCAAAGCCTAAACACTCAGGAGAAGGGGGGGGGGGCTTCATGACCGCCGTCTTTAGAGCATCCTCTTTGTTTCTACATCAGTAATACTCTGTGTTTCAAGTACTGGCTGTGGCGCAGTGGCCTAGTGCGTTAGTGTTCCAATCAGGGGAGCACAGGTTCAAACCCCACTGCAGTCAGCATGTCGTTGTGTCCCTGAGACACTTCGCTCCTGTGGGGATTGCCCACAGTACTGAGTATGTAAGTCGCTTTGGATAATGTCATGTACCTAAGGGTGAAAGAAATACTCTGAAATGTGATAACTTCAACTATTATATATACTGCCAGGTTGCTTAATCTATAAAGATACAATATAATTTAGAAGTTAATCTGAATAAACAGCTGATTAATGCGTTAAAATAAAAATAGTAGAGTATAACTACAATAGCAGCTTTAAAATGTAGTCAAGTAGCATACAATGACTAATAGTAAAGTACCTCAAATTGCACTTAATTACAGTTCTTGAGTACATGTACATTGCCAGTTTTTGTCACATAGGATTACATGAGAATATTGTAGTATATACGGACATATGACATCACATGTATGATATATTATATTGTATTTAGGTAACTAAAACCATGAGTGGGTTAACAGAAAACTTCATCGGCAGTTCCAGTTTCCTAAATGGAAAATGAAAATTGGCTGCATTTGCTTAAAAATATCTTTAAATACTTTAACTCCTAATACTTTTAAAGTGCATTTTAGTACTTGTATTTAAATACTTTTACTTAAGTACCATTCTTGATGCAGTA